CTGGCTTTACATGGTTGTAAATTATGTTATTATCCGGTTGACTGTAAAAGCAATGTTACCTTAAAATTATACATTATAACTATTTTGACTGCACATGTGACGGTTCCAAAATGATGGCTGCACACTTTTCAGTCTTTGGTAAAGTTATTTATCATAAATTACTAAAAGTACTGATAGAAAGCAATTTTTTATGGTCTTCTCACTACTTCCTATCCCTTTTGCTAATAAAGCAGGATTATGATTGTCTCAGCACTGTCAAAAGAATGCAGAATGTAGATATTAGGTGATTCTAATAATCCCATAAAATAGTATGAGTAAATTATTCAGATAATAATATTTTTGAATCTTTATGTACTTGTACTCCAGGCCATATATGAGGCTCATTTTCCTGCAAGGTCAATTAAATATGCAATTAAAAGTTACTCCCTCATGTTTTCCTCTCATGGCTGTCAGTGCAAATTCTTCAGGGTCATCAGCTCTCTACAGATCTATACATTGTACAGAATCATTCATGTGAACTGTATTCCAAATGAATTTAAAATATTAAAAGTTGCATTTTACAATTTCTTCTGCTCAGTGATCAGTGTGGTGAATCTCCTTCATCTTGATAAAGGTCATAAGGATTTTTTTTTATTCTTCAAAGTGCCTGATTTATGGTTTGTGGCAGAAGGAAAGAGTGAAAAGGAAAGCAAGTCATGAAAAAAAAATATAAGTGAAATTAGCACCAGGAATGTGGCAAAAGGATACTTAAAAAGAAGTAAACACATTTCTTCCTATTATGGATATTTCTTTCTACCCTTTGACTTTCACTTCTTCTGTCAGAAAGTCATTGTGAATTACTTAGAAGAAATGGGGAAGGTGGCATAAAATCAGCAAGTTTTGTCTTTTGAATTTCAAACATTTAGAATCAGAGTAATAGGGAAAATATATTCAGAGTCAATAAACTTAGAATTTATGGTCAGTAGAAAAATTTTAGTAGCTTTCCTCTTCCTTTTCTATTTTTCCAAAGCTAAAATTAAAAAAAAAAAAAGGTTACCTGATTTGAGGGAAAGGAATAAGAGAGGAAATGAGAAGTATGAGAAAGTCTGTGATAGATAAAAATTTAGGATGACAGGATCCTGAATGAGCAATGGACAGAAACCGAAAATAACAGAGACCATTAACCTAAGGGGCAATGTAGTTGTCTTTGAGTTGGTAAATGGCAAAATTTTTAAAAACGTAAACCTTTCCTTTTAATAGCAACAGTTCATTTCCTGCCAATTGTCTAGCAGGTGTGCTCAATTTGCATTCAATATACCCTGTCAGGGCAGCCCTCTTTTTCATCTAAAGTCACTCATAAACCCTGGGATATAAGGTGGGTACTCATCTCCCACTTTGTGTGTAAAAGTAAAAGAAAAAGACTCTTAATATGAACTTGGTTAGCACTGAACAATATTCAATCAATAACTTTTCCTGGGTGGGAGACACATATCCCCATGAGACTGAAAGGCTCTTTGAGGTCACTCTCATGCTTTAAACCTGACTTTACACTAAAGAACATTCCTCTACAAGAGTGAAGCATGTCTCTCACTCAGTTAGCACAATTCAAGTTGTGAATAAGTTGTACAGGAGCTATGCAAGATTAACATGAGCAACCTTGCAATCCAGACTGCCTTTGGAGGCATGTGTAGTTCAGGACTAGATATATCAGTGAGAAGTTAGCTCACTCAATGATTTTGTACAAAATATGTTATTAATGTGAACGCTGCAAATATAAAGGAAAAGAGAGGTCTACAATACATTTCTTCAACTTTGTCTTAGAGTGGGTTGTCCAGAAAGTTACATATGTAGCCGGGAGCAGTGGCACATGACTGTAATCCCAGCAGCTTGGAAGGCTGAAGCAAGAGGATTGTGAATTCAAATAATGTTCAAGATCTCTAGCAATTACAGAAATTCAAATTAAAACTGCAATGCAATTGCATCCAACTCTGATAAGAATGGCAACAATCTAGAATATAATAACAATAAATGTTAGCAAGGTGTGGGGAAAAGGATATACTCGTACACTCCTGGTGGGACAGCAAATTGGTGCAACCACTCTGAAAACAGTATGAAGACTTCTCAGAAATCTTAAAACAGAATCACCATTTGACCCAGTTATTCTACTCCTTAGTATACACCCAAAGGATATACAAACAGCTTACTATAGTAATGCAGCCACATCAATGTTTATAGCAGCTCAATTCACAATAGCTAAGCTATGGAACCAACCACGGTGCCCTACAACCAATGAATGGATAAAGAAAATGTGGTATATATTCACGATGGAATATTATTCAACGATGAAAAGAATGACTTTATGACATTCGCTAGAAAATGGATGAATCTGGGTGCTATTATGCTAAGCGGAATAAGCAAATCCCAAAAAACCAAGGTCAAATGTTCTCTCTGATATGTGGATGCTAACACACAACAAGTGTGGGAGATGGAAAACAGATGTTCAGTAGATTGTACAAAGGGGAATGAAGGGAAAGCAAGGGAGACAGTAATAGGAAAGACAGCAGAATGATTGACATAACTTTCCTATTTACATATATGAAAACACCACAGTGAATCTCTACATCATGTACAAACATGAAACTGGGATATTGATTACAGTGATAAGTACTCTGTGTTTGTATAAGTAAGTAAAATTATACTCTACTGTCATGAATAACTAAAAAGACCAAAAATATTTTTAAAGTTATAAAATAGAAAAACTGGTGCACATTAAAATTTTAGGGAAATTCACCCAAGCAAAACAATATAAATCATAAGTTGGAAAGGTTGTTATGGTTTACAGTTGTTTGAAGTGGAAAGTAGAATAGTTTCCACAGGCTGGGGTAGGAGTGGTGTGAGAAAAGAATAGTTATTGACCAAAGAGTTCAAACTTTCAGTTGGCAATAAGGAAAAAAGTTTTCCAGATTTATTATACAACAATGTGGTCATGGTCAATAATCATGTATTGTATATTTCAACGTTGCTCAAAGAGTAGATTCCCAATGTTCTCATTGTATAAATGAACTATGTATATAAGGTGGAAAAAAAGAAACAAATGGAAAAAAATTGGAAAAAAGAGAAATTACAAAGTTCTTTAAATCATAATGTGCCATAGCAATCAAATCTGAGTATTTCAGCTAAAATAACAAAAAAAGGAAGTATATAGCCTCAACTGCTTTTTCCAGAACATTTAGAAAGTCTGAGAATAGATGAGTTAAGATTTCAATGCAAAATGGCAGAAAAAGAAAAAGATGATAAAAGAGAACATTCCAAATACATGGAAATCATAACTGTTAAAATAAAATGACATAACATCCATAGTTTTAACCTACAGATACATAAACTTTTCCTGACAAAACACATTAAATGTGATCTTACTTTTAAAGAGAAATAATGTGTGAATAAACAACTCGGTAATGGAAAATGGGCAAGTAATTATTTAGTAATGTATAATTTAAGATTAAACAAAGGTAAATATAATACAATACAATGAACAATATCCTAGGAATTAATATGAAAACTTGTGTGATGTAAAAAAAAATACAGGGAAATATAAATTAGCACAGTGGTCTATTGTGATGAAAATCATAAAATAAGAGAAAATGAGTTAAATTTCTTCAACCACAAAGAGACCATATCTACTAATTTTTTTAAAAACAGAAGCTAATTTCAATTATATAAAAACTGTTCTAATAAACAGAATAGGTAATTCCTCATTTATTTTATGAGTTTAGCAATGACTGTGTTCCTCAACACAGAAAAGCATAAGAAAGTAAAAATGTTAGTTAATCACAATTATAAACATACAAGCAAAAGTTAAAATATAGAATATTAGGCTAAGATTATCAGAACTTCATTATACTAATTACATCATGACAAAGTGTTTAATCTCAAGATTGCAAGGAAAGCACAATCTAAGAAATTTCACCAACAATGTTAATAAAATAAAATCCAAAATTAGAAAACAATCAACTGAATAGATTTCATATACTGTTGAATAGTATCCAGCTACCATTATAATTAAAAAATCCTTCCCAAACTTAATTTTCAAAAATTATCTACCAGAGATCTATAGTGAATATATGTACAGTATAAGATGCAAAGTTCTAGAATAATTTACATTAAATTCAGAAATTTAAAAATGTGCACTGCATGCATGAAAATAAAATACTGAATCCCATCAATATGTAGAATTAATGTTACTAAAAATAAATAAATATTTAAAAACAACCTCTAATCACAAATACTAATCAATATTTTCTTAAAAGTTTCTAGCCACTATAATAAAACAAAGGGGAAAATAAGTGGATAGTGGGTTTAAAAGTTTAAAATATGAAATAAAACATTATTTGTAGAGGATGGGATCACCTGTGTAAATTATTTAAAACAATCAACCAATAAGCAATTAGAACTAAAGCAAGAACAAAAACATGGTTAAATACATGATCAACACAGGGAAAACAGAAAGCACTGTTCTATATACAAGACTTTTCTTTTAACTGATACATAATATCAACACTTATTTATTGAGTGCAGTTGGGACTCAAAGCAGGTCCATGAAACTTAGAATAGGGACATTTGGATAGACCTGAATGAAGTTGAGAACTTTGAACTTTAAAATTAATTCTGAGTGAAGCACAACTTTTCTCCAGTGCAAACAAGCTGGTAAATCCTAGGTTTTGAAAAAGTTAAGGTGGAGACGGTGGGATTTCCGGTGCTGCCACTTTGGAATATCCTTTTGTGGGTGATGTTCCGCTGGATACCGGAAGTGTGGCTTGCGGTTGGCTGTTTCTCTTGCGTCACTTCGAGACTCGATCATGGAAGGAAAGATTCAAAGTAAGTTCTACCTCTGTGCCTTTCCAGAGTTGTGATGTCCTGATTCTAAATCTGCCTCCCTAAGATTTATTGTCCCTGTGTTGCCAGTGATTTTGTGCCTCGTGGTTTTTCAGACCCTTGTGGCTTTTCAGACACTAGCCAACGCCATGTTGTCTTCCAGGTCTCCGCATACACACTGCTTGGCCACGGCCCAGGAAGACTGTGGCTTTGGCCTTAGATTCATAGATGAACCACAAATAGACCAGGCCCAGAACCATGTGACCCTTGATGATGTGTTCTTATATTTCTCTCAAGAAGAGTGGGAGCTGCTCTATGAGCCTCAGAAACTCTTGTACTGCCAAGTGACACTGGAGAACTTGGTACTGGCGTTCTCACTGGGACTTCCTATTTCCAAATCCTTTGTATTTACCCAGCTAAAGCCAGGGAGGGAGCCCAGATGGCCTGTCTTGTTAGACCTTGCTCTAGCCAAGTTAAATATCATAAGAATTAAGCCTGGTTCTAGCCATTGGTGTGGAATGGAAGATGAAGAGGCACCTTTTGAGCGGGGTATTTCTGTAGAAGGATCATCTGTGGTAACTTTTAAAGAAGGTCCTTGTTCCACAGAGGCTCACTCCTGTGACAGGTGTGACTCACTCCTGAAAGAAATTGTGCACCTGCCTAAGCAGCCAGAAATTCCCACTGGGCAACAGCTGTATACATGGAAATTATGTGAAAAAGACTTCTGGTTCAGTTTGCAGCAGAATGAAGAGCAAAGCTTTAGTACAGAAGAGGGCCAGCCCTCCTCTGTGGAAAGCTGCATACTCTATGATTTGGACGAGGATTTCACTTTCAGAACTGAAAGGAATGACTCCTTGTCCAGCTCTATAGTTGTCCAACAAGAAGACACTCATAATGAAGAGGATCCATCCAGAAACACTGAGTTAGCAAAGGCTGATGGCACTGAACAAATGCACAAATGCAATAAATGTGGGGAAAGTTTCAACTACCAAGATAAATTACTTCAGCACCAGAAATCCCACACCAGAGAAAAGCTTTATAAGTGCAATGAATGTGGGAAATTGTTTGGCTACAAATCCAGCCTCATTGTACATAAGAGAATTCACATAGGATTAAAACCTTATAAGTGTGCTGAATGTGGGAAATCTTTTCTCCGAATTTCCAACCTTGTTAAGCATCATATAGTTCACACTGAAGAAAGACCTTTTGAGTGTAATGAATGTGGGAAAACCTTCCGTCGCAAAGATACACTTGGTCAGCACCAGAAAATTCACAATGACAAAGGGCCTTATAAGTGCAGCAGTTGTGAGAAAGACTTCACCTGTAAAACTTCTCTTGTTGAACATGAGAAAAGCCATAGTGCTGAAAATGTTTATGAGTGTGATGAATGTGGGAAAATGTCAACCAGTAAATCCTACATTTTAAATCACAAGAGATCTCACAGCAAAGAAAGGCCTCATTTGTGCAATGTATGTGGAAAAACCTATATCACTAAATCCCACCTTAAACAGCACATTAAAGTTCATACAAAAGCAAAGCCTATGGTGAAGTGATTGTGGACATTTCTTTGGTAGCAACCCAAGCCTCATGCACCAGAGACTTCACACAGGAGTAGGTTCTTATATGTTTAGCAAATGTGAGAAAGCCTACAATAGATGATCCAACTTGGCTTCCCACATAAAACTTCGTACTGGCTAAAGACTTTATGAGTGTAGCAGTTTTGGTGTCCTTTGAGCTGCATCAGTGAAGCTCATTTGGCACCAGAGACTTCACAATGGAGAAGGAGTTTTAAGAGTGCAGGAAATGAACTTTTTGTTCAACATATCATTACTCACAAAAGAAAAATGTTCTGCACATATGCTTTCTGAGAGAGCCAAAAAACAGGTTGGATTCCCCACATCCTAACATCTGCACTGGGGAGATTATCTACAAGTGCCAGGTATGTGGGACACTTTCAAGAGCTTTCTATTCTCCCCAGGATACTTGACCATGGCCAGGGAAGAATGTTGCTAATACTGGTATATGTTGTTCTACTTAGAAATCCTAAAGTATATTTGAATATTATATTTAGACAAAACATTTTTCAACAAAAAAATACTAACAAAGAATACCTTTCAGATTAAAATACAAGGGTAGAGTGTATAGTTCAGTGGAAGATCACTTGCTTAGCTTATTTGAGTTGTCATTGCCATTTTCTGCTGCAGAAGCTGTCCTACTTCTATGCATAGTTAGGTTCCTACAATTAGTGTTAGTTACCTTAGTGTACTCAGGGAAGGCAGTCCTCAGTGCTTGTGCTCCCCCTTGCCCCCAGCCTTCCTTCCTGTTCCTTGGAGGAATTCCTTATTCCCTCCTCTCTGATGATATTTATTGTGGACATGATCCAATTCTTGCTAAAAATTTCTGATCTGGGATCTGCTGCAAGTTTCCAAAGGTTTCCTTTCTTCATGGACTATTGTCTCTACATGTGATAACTGAGATGGAGTTCTCCAACCTCCACATCACCCAGCCTTGGGACTTCCTGCCCTACACTGATCTGTTTTATGCAATGAAAAGTATAATTATTTGTGTCTTATTGTTTAAGCTTTTAATCTATTCTGTTCACTATGTGGGGAAAGAATTGGCATTGCCACCTTGAAGGGAGGAAAACCTTTTGTAGAAGCCCCAAACTTTATGTGTCATAGAGAACAGCAGCATGGTGGAGAAGAGTTCTCAATATAGTTTGGTCTAATTGACAATGCTGATTGGGTCTTCCTAGGAAAAATTGTAGGTCTTTGTGGATCCAATCCTGTAACTTAAATGCCAGGATCCCTGATGAAGGGTTAGGTGATATGACAACATCTGGTGCTTCTGACGACAGCAAATTCCATCCTTCCCTCCAACACTTTTGAAAAGTAGCTGTCTCTCAAGCCAAAGTAGCTGTCTCTCAAGCCCAGCTGGAAATCATAAGGTCTAAAGCCTATAGGGATTAAATGGGAAACATAATTGATAGATTTATTCTTTTAATAATTGTTCTTATAATAATTGATTTAATTGATAGATCTGTTCTTGTCATCTCTTCTGATATTCAAATTAAAGTTAAAAATATACACTTTATGTTTCTATATTTTAAACTTAAGCCTTAATTCTTAGTGTTACTAATACTGGTAAATGTTTTACTTAGAAATTCTAAAGTATATTTGAATATCTTATTTAGACAAAACATCTTTCAACAAAAAAACTAATAAAGAATATCTTTCAGATTAAAATACAAGGGTAGAGGGTATAGTCCAGTGGAAGATCACTTGCTTAGCATGTGTAGGCCCTGGGTTCTATCCCCAGGACTGCAAGAAATGTCAAGAGCAAACAATTGTTACAGAAGTACTGTGACAGTTGGAATAGTGGAGACTGTGGCAAACTAAGAGATGTCTATTTTGAAGGCATATGTAGATCTCATGTGACTATAGCTTGTTGGACTGAAGGTATACAGAATCCTCTTTATCTCATGTGGATGAGGACAACATCAGAACAATTAATATAAAGGTTTTCTGAAATCCTGTACCTCCCTGGGCTGTCATCCCTGTAGACCTCACTGTATAGGTAGGAACCCCAAGACAGAAAGGAGAGATGCTGTAATCCAGGAATAGATCTTTTGTGACTCATTCAATATTTGGATAAACATGACCTTCATTGATTTCCTGCTTTAACTTCCATTGGGCAGAGCTGATCTTAATATATTGAAAGTGCGAGGTAGTTGAGTCAATATAGAGTTGATTTCCCAAGAGAAATGGTAGACTTATATTTTTATGTGAAACCATTTATTTCTTAACAACTTTATTGGTGTGTGATTGCAATACAATGAACCATACATATTAAAATTGTACCCTTAGAAAATTGTTGACATATGTATACACATGTGACACCATTATCACAGTTAAGGTAATGGGCATAATTTCATCCCCAAAAGTTTCTTCATTCCTTTTTATAATCCTATCCTCTTTTCCTTTATGATATCTCATCTGCATATAAACATGGCTTTGTTTTCTGTCATTCCACATTAGTGTGTATTATCTAGAATTTTATATAGTCATACAGTATTGTATATTTTTGTCTGCCTTCTTTGAGTAAGCATAATTGTTTTGAGATTATTTGAAGTTGTTGAGAATATCGTTAGGTTATTTCTTTTTATTCCTGAGTAATAATGCCCTGTATTGATATACTACAATTATTTATCCATCATCAATTTTTGATGAACATGTGGATTATTTCCAGGATTTTATTATTAAAAATAAAGCTGATTGAAAAAAACAAAGACTCTTTATTGATCTCACAGAAGCAGTTGCCTTGCAAAAGAAAGGCAGCTGCTGAAGACCAATCCCTACCACTCATGTTGCCTCCACATTGCCCTTAAGGGACAGGCTCTAGCATAACCCCAGGGATAATTTCAAGCTCTGGAAATAAGATAACACTTAGATTATATACAGTGTAATTGCAAGTTCTTGCAAATTTGTATAGGTAAGAAATCAGAACATATTGTGGGAATTGACTTGAAGTTTGTTGGACCAAAGAGAATAGAACATAAATTAAATAAAATTCATCTGCATGGGCATATTAGACTGCTTTCCATAACTATAACAAACTGACTGAGATAATTACATTTTAAAGGTAAAAGGATTATTGTTCACTTATGGTTTTAGATGTTTTAGTCCTTTATCAAGGGATCCAATTTGGGGGCCTCTTGTTACTGTGACTCTAGCTTGTCCCTGAAGCCAATTTAATAAAGAGGACACAGTTTTGAGAACAAGGAAAAAGAAGGTTTGTTGCTTTGCTAATAAAGGAGAGAAGCATGGGAAATTTCTAAAGTGTGTGATTCTCCCCATCAAGGAATACAGAGGTCTTCCACAGAAGCTCTTCAAAGGCTGCATTCCAGGTGTGCCCTAACCTAAGGGGGAGCGGGTCCCAGGTGTATCTTGATGGTGTGTCAAAATTCACTTATTAATTTGGGAGACAGTCACATCCTAGATCTTCTGTGACTTCTCCTTCCTGTAGTGGGTGTGTGCTCAAGAACAGATAACTAGGTAATCTTGTTTTCTGCCTAGGATGGGAAAAGTAATCTTATTCCCTGCTCCCAGGTTAGGGAAGGGGAGAGAGAGAAGAGGAAAAGAAAAACATGCGCCTTTTAAAATAAGCCTCAGCAATGAGGACTATATTCAAAAGGTGAAGTGGACTATTGTTACACTCTGACAAGGCAACAAGGCAACACATCTTGGCAGGAGCATATAGTGCAAATTCCTCACCTCAAAGAGGAAAATAAAGAGACTGCAGTTCTATAATCCCCTTTGAGGGCACAACATCAGTGACCCTAAGGATCACCCAATAAAGCCCCATGTTTTTGTTTGTTGGTTTGTTCGTGAAAGGGTCTCACTATGTTGCCCAGGCTGGTGTCAAATTTATGGACTCAGGTGATCCTCCTGCCTCAGCCACATGAGGAGCCAGGACTCCAGGTATGTTCCACCATACTGGCAAGGGTCTATAGCACTTCCAAATAGCATCACCCTTGGGACCAAGCCTTTAATACATGTATCTTTAGAGGATATTCTATATCCAAACTATAGCATTCCCTGAGATTTGGCATTTAATGGGCCAAGTGAAGCAGCTTGAAGAAAATCTAATAAGCACTAAAGCCTGGATTGAGTGGCCATCTACATAAAAGAATTCAAATGCTTCAGAACTTCCCTGGGATAATTTTTCAGTGTCTCAGAAGGATAACTCCTGAAAATTACATTACTGCATTTTATCGTTCTCTTGCTTTCATGTAAGTTCAGCCACTAAAGGAGAGCAGGGAAGAATACAAGTTTCTTCTTCCTCTGTGCTTCACTTGGCTTCTCAGGCAATGTCTGTGTCTCTTTTGCTCCAGTGGCCCTTCCAGACAGCTACATAATGGTTCCAACATTTTCCAAAGGACCTGTAAAACTGCCCTAGCTTTATTCCTCTAGCCTAAGGGTGGCAAATACTACCTGCTGATATTACTCACTGTGTTGCCCCAACTGTTCCCCTCAACTGAGTAGCCAGTTTTCAAAGTTAAATTTCTTCTGCTTCAATATTTTTACATGTATTTTTTGAGTCCTATTTTTTGCTGGTTATGTCCTAACTGATAAAGAACTATACTGAAGTGTTGGGAGGAGAGTAAGTGTGTGAGTAAGCAATGAGAACTAAATATTTCTTAATTATGTTCTCTGCAGAAAACCGCTTATTCAGAGTAGTTGAAAAGAATTTAATGAAGGGGCTATTTATAGAGCTGAGGGCAGAATTAAGAAACCCATTAAAAATAGTGATGCACCCAGAGACTAACAATGTTAGGAAGCTATTCCTATCCTCACAAAAGAAGGCAAGAGACAGAGCAGTATCATGGGAACTGGAAAGTCCTCTAACTTTGGGAAAAGGCAACCCAACAGGAGTTGTAGCCATAGGTGGGGGAACACAGCCACTATTAAAGTGTAATCTGGCAGGGAAGGATCATTAGGGAGGGGAGTTAGATACCTGACCTGTTTCTGCTCCTGCACTTTGATTTCCTGCC